ACCCTGCTTTATGGTCTATTTGACTCTAAATGGACCATAACTTACTAAATGAACATCATGCTGTATTGAAGAAGACTTGAAACTGGAGATTGAGACCATAAACTCATGTTTACAATGTTTACTGAGGTAATAAATCAAGAGAGAAGTAGAGTCATTTTCTCATAGACTTCTATACAACCAGAGGAGTCGCCCCCTGCTGGCCAGGAGAGAGAGTGCAGCTTGCTGCCTGACCCATGGCAAATATATACTCAATAAATAGTTATATTAAAACTGGAAAGGCAGAACTGGGTGCTTTGACAGGGCCTCCCAGGACCAATACATTGTTGTAAAAAAGGGAACACTAATTAAAACAATAATATGAGGTCATTAGGAACAAATTCAATTTAAATTCAACGAGGTCCATTTAGAGAGAATTTCCTCATCAAAGGTCCAGAACATCACAATAATGTCTAACTTGTTCTATGATTTAGTTCCATATATATTGAATTAGCCAACAGTTGTATTAACGTCTGTATGTAGTCAACAACTGACTGTTAAATCAAATTCAATTTTAGGTTCAATTGAATAGTATCTCAACAGTATTTATTGTCAGATTTCAAACTGAACTGGATGAATTATAAATAATACATAATCTATTAATAAATAAATGTTCTCTTATTTCAAGTAAAATAAGGGCCGGATTTAAAAAACAATACATGACAGAAAGCTTTTAACAAATGTGACTCTTATAAAGTAGTAGAATAAAGTAGTTCATTTTAAAAAATGTAATTTAACTAAATTGTCCTGCAGCTGTAAATTCAGTTCATTCAGGCTGAAGTGATGTCAATCAAAAAAAACATAATATTATATTCTTCTGATCTAGTTATTAAACCACTTGTTTCAGCTCTATTCCTCTCTGTTAACATCATTGAATTCACCTGTTAGGATTCTGATCATATTGGGCTCTTAGATTGTTTATTATCTGTGACTTCATTTCAGATGTGAGTGGGTACGTTTGCGCAAAAGATGTGTTCTTTGTCTCGTAGTGTCACATTACCGCTTTTAATTATTGCAAAGGTCTCTGAACACATGAGACATTCTGGTTTTAAACTGCCCGTGTGAAGAATGAACCTATAAGAGTTTGTTCATTCTTGGTTAAAGGCTCTAGTCTCTCTGGTCTCTCTGACCACTTTTCTCTTTTTGGAGAACATCATGTGAAATAACTTCTCTAACTCGCATATTATTCTCCAACAGGGACCCAATTGCTAGGATTATGGATACGAGCATTTTGGTGATTACACACAGTATAATAACTACAGGTGATGGGGGGGACATTTCTTTCACTGCACGATATTGGAGCGTTGAGGCAACCTGCCAGAATCATTCCATCTCCTGTGTGTTCTTCACCTGATTATATGAAAGCCTTTTCATACAGCACCACCTTAATGTTGCTCATGCAGTGCAGAATGACTGAGAATGTGATTGGTCAGTTTATGACCTAAACAACATCTGTAACTTGTTGTTAAATGTCTTTACGATAAATCAATCGAGAAGTACGATTAAATGTCTTTATATATGACAATAATTTTGGTCATAATAATGGTTTCATTGTGATATAGGCGTTGCATCAACCAAGCTGGTGAGGCGGTCACCACAGTCAGGTTGTGATGGCTGGTGGTTGCATATTAGGGCTGCACCCGAGCGCTAAAAATGTGAACTGATGTGAAGCTCTGCAAGGTCAGTGCACAATGAGCACAGTTAGTTGATTAGTCAATCGGCTCATAATCATGTGGGTTTACTTGATGAGCAGCACTTCCCCAGTCTATATACGTATATTATATATATATATATATATTGCTTGTTGCAGTAAGACACTTACGGAGAACTCTGTGTGGGAAGGTAAAATAAATTTCCTTTCAGGTCTCTAACTGCTGTGTAAGCGTTCACCGTGAATGTGTATGGATTTATTGATCCGGTACAGTTTTTAAGTGCACAAAGACAGCTTTTGGGAAGTGTTTTGCAAAATGCTACAACCTCTAAGTCACTCCGAACATCTATCTGAAGCCAAGACAACCTGTCTCGCAGAAATGATGCATGCAGGAGAGAGAGGAAGGAGATGAACGATTACAATTTAAATTTTACGGATGGTCCATCGATGTCCCTCATCACAGGGCCCATAGAGCATGCTGGTAGTTTCCTTTGACCCCGCCTCCCAGCCCTTGATCCAGACTCGTTCTCATTCACATGAACGGAGAAAGAAAGACACTCTGGATCCAGCTATAGTGCATTTCACAACATTTAGGACACAATGGTTTAAATAAGAGCTATTTAGGTGTTTGTATTAGGAAGTTGGGTTGGTGTTTCTTTCCCTTTGTAAGTCTATGGGGAAACGTTGTTTTGGGCCCAATGGCACTACATGATGGACCCGGAAGTTGTTATTCCACTGTTTGGCCACTATGGGTACATTTCATTTGACATGTCCTCGCTCCTCACTTGAACCAGAAGTTGATCTGCTCGGCCATCTTGAAGGCCGTCTTAAAAGGTCTTATCTCTGCCCTTAGAGGTGAGGAGGGATCTCTGAGGAGCCATGAGCGAGGAAACACGCGGAAGTCTTTTAATGGCCGACACGCCCCCTCATTGTTTATCAGTTATTGATTGGACGCTGCAGCCCTTCGGCTATTTCTCAACGTCACTGACGTTTCATACCAGAGTGAGGGGAGAGCACAGATCAAGTTTTATGTTTGATTTGTTTTCTGATCCACCAGGTCCTAACAACAAAAGGACCACAAACAACTTTCTACATTTATTAGAAAGATTTATTTCATGATAACTTTTATTATGGATACAATTAATGTCAGCAAGAGCAGCAGAGTCTGTCTGTTTGTCATTTCCATTCAGTCACGTGAGGCTGATGATTCCCCAGCTTTAGGTTTGATATGAGTTACATCATTTCAATTTTCCCCAAAACATTGAGCCTACTAGATAATTTCCAGTGTTCAAAGGACACCATAATCATATTCTGTTATTGAATAATGATTTCAAAATAAGAATATCAATAACTACAGATGCACATAATGATTAAATAACACAAACACATTCTGCCAGTAGAAATGGACACAGTACACAGTATCAAGACAGAAAGCAGGCTACAGAGAGAAAACACTCTGCTGTGACAGTGATGATAGCTGAGTGTCTGTATTGGTACAGACAGCTCACATGTTTGCAGACACAAAAGTCTCCACAGCTATTAAACTGTCAGCTGATCCAGCTGTGATCAGCTGTCATCACAAACAGACGACCCTTCACGTAAAATAGACTGTACTTTTATAACGTTTTTCTTGTCTTCTGACCACTCAAAGCGCTTTAACGCTACATCATTCACCCATTGACACCCATTCATACACTGATGGCAGGGGCTACCATGCAGGGTGCCACCTGCCCATCAAGGCTATCTAATCATTCATACCCTCCTCCTCTGATTGACGGACAACCTTGCTCTACCACTGAGGCACAGTCGCCATGTTAAGATTCAGAAGAAAGGACATCTCATTTCTCTAAAAACATATTTCCTCGTTTCCTCTCTCCTCTCATGGTTTCCTTGCGTCTCTCCATGCATCCCTGGTGGGAGGGACTAAGACATAAGAAAAAGATGCAAGTGAGGGAAATGAGGATGTAAATAAGAGACTTGGGATGTACCCAATGTAGAGAGACAGTAAGAAATGTTCTGTAAATTACATTAAATTAAACTTTTCTGCCATTGAACCAATTACCAACTATTAAGTCATTACAAATCAAGATTTATCTGCTAAATATGATGATTAATCATTAAAGCCTGAATCGAAATCCAAATCAAACCAAATGTATCATTAAATATACATTTTGACTTTTAATATAATGTTGGCCAAAAAAGTCAAAACCTATATTTTAATCATCAAGCATTAGCTTTAGCATTAGATAACCTCCACAGATTTGCAATCTTGCGATCACAAAAATGTATTTAGATGTTGGCAAATCCAACCTTCATCGTTTTTTTTTTAAAACACATTTAAGGTAGAATAGAGCAGATGTCGGGCGCCAGTCGGTAGCTTCATGTCACCTGATTCCATTGAAAATGACTTGTAGCTTCTTGCTAATGGCTCATACTGTGAACACAACATTAGTGTTCAGTAGTTGTTGATAGTGAAGATTACATGCCACTTACCTTCCATATTTCTTAAAGTCGTCAGTATCTTCTTACCGGTTTAATGATCTCTGTCTCTGCTGTTATTACAGTTGTCTGGGTTCATAACATCATCCGGAGGCGCTCCGTGAATTTCACACAAGCCACACGTTGGCTGGTTTACTACAGCCGTATAAACCCCAAATAATAATTGTATTCCTTTCCATTCTCGTACACTGGGCATGCGGGTGCCGGTATGAACAGGAAGTTGCTTAGTTACAGAAAATACAACAGAGTATTATTGTACTCTTTAGTAATATGAGGTCGTGCTTGATACTGTGCTTGGTCAACACACGTCTCTTTCTCGTTTCGTTGTAGTCTGTTCTCACTCGTCGTACTGGAGAGCATTTATGATTTTGTTCCTTTACAGTTTCTTTGTGAACTTCACAATAGTTGTGCAGAACAAACTAAGCATTGATAAGAACCGTAAATTCCTCCGTTGTGTGTCCATCGCCCTCTTCAAAGCCGCAAACCATGACTATGTCCACTCCGTAGGGCTGATAACGCTGCAGGACACGCCCCTCGATAATCGCTCCAATAATAGCTTGCTTCCTCCGCATGTTGGACCACAGACCACTATTCTGTTATATTAAATGGTGCTAAGAAGCAGTTTGTTCTCTCTGCTTTGTTTTGCATACATTTGCTCATCAATAAGGAGAACTTTCACTCCTACATCAAGCAGTTCAGGTGCCAAGAAACCCATAAACTTCCCTCATAATGCAATCTTATTGAATGTGAACCTCAGAGTTGCAATGTTCCGCACATCCATGTACTCATTTCTGTTTCTCTGTCTATTTTTCAGCTTCTTCTCCAGTCAGGCAAAACCTGAAGGACTATGACGGATAGAACATCTCCCATTTCAAGGTGATCCTGCTGGGAAGATAAAACTTTTGTGACCCGTACATCCTACACTTCCTCCAGAGAAATGAGGACTATCTTGCTGGGCATTGTGTGGCTCTGTCTTGGCCTGTCCCTGGATGCTTGGTCTTTAAGTGGACGGCAAATAGAGACAGTTGGTGGAGAGGGAACTGAAGAAGAGGTCAGAGGAGAGAATCTGCTCAAAAGAGTGAGACGAGGCTGGATGTGGAACCAGTTTTTCCTGCAGGAGGAGTATACAGGAAGCGATTACCAGTACATTGGCAAGGTAAGAGCTGTGCCACTACCTCGACCTTTAGTTACATTGAACGCTGACATAGTCCCATATCAAATGAAATCACCTTGATTATTTAGAAACACCCTTATTTGTGATGTTTTTATTTTCTGCATTTCAGGTATTATCACTATGAATGTATTAGGGGTGGGACTCTCTAGGCTCGTCACGATTCGATTCCGATTCAGAGGGCTACGATGCGGTTATAAAACGATTATCGATTCTTCTTGATGTATCCAAACTTATTCAATACATGATTTATTTTTTCTCATTGTGGCTACCTGCTATTTTAGCAGCACCCTCGTATGAAAAAAACAAACATAATTCAGCATGTTCTGAATCATTTGACGTAACAAATGAGTGATACAGAGTTCTCCTTATAGGCAATGACCCTTCAGCTCTCAAACTAAAATAACGCTTTCTCTGGAACATGTGGTAAAACTATACATACAGTGAGAAAGCGTGGTTACTGTGACACAATATTCTGTGGCAATGGATGCCCACACCTAGTGTGTTACTTCTATCCTACCCACTTTCCTCAGTGACTTTAGCTTTGGTTTGGTTGTAGAATGAGAGTATCGCTGTGTCCATAAAAACGTTGAGATGAATGTTGTCTCTCGTTTCCAAAGTGTGCAACATAAGCGCGAAAGCTTTGATTCTCAATGACTGAGTAGGGGCGCAAATCCTTGCCAAAAAAGGAGCAATCGACTTTGTGATTCCGAGTTGGGCGGAAGAAGAAGCGAAATGCTTCTAAGCCGGGTGGTGCCGGTTGGATTGTATCCATATTCGGCTGCTCAAGCTCAGCCGTCCTCACCAAAACTCTGCTAAAATTTAGCATAGCTTAGAACGTAAACAAGACGCATGTGTATTATGTTTGTTGCGTTCAGGGGCAGCGATAAGGAACGGACAGCCCGGTGTCACAGAACTGTTTCAGGCCATCATAACGTTGAGAATTAAGTTTAAAATTTCCGATTATTGAGTTTCCTGCATCGAGTCATAATCTTTCAAGAGACAATCGCGGTGCACCTACAGTAAGAATCGACTTTTTCCCCCCCATGCCTAGAATGTATGCTAAGTTAATCACTGTTCACACATTTAGCTCATGACTTTGGTGCTTGTAAGCATAAATCACCCCTGCTGAATATCACTGCTATAAATCATTGAAAAGTTTGGTCCATTAATTCATATTTTTGGAGGTTTTTATATTATTATGTAACTTCCCAGTTGTGTTCCTAATGTATAATGTGTTAAAATCTGGACATTGGTTGAAGTACGTATGTTTTCATAAAAATGCCATTTTGCCAAAAACCGTGTGATCAGACATAGTTTCTGCATGATGACATTGCTACATATTCCTTATCCATAGTTAGTGTGTATTATTATTATTAGTTGACTCAGCTAGTGCTGGCTTTCACATTGTTCATAAGCTTATTGATTAGCTTGCTGTGCTGAAGGTACGTAAGTTACTGCATTTTGCAAACAGGTGGGCAGGTGTTTCTGTTTCAAAAGCCCAGTGAAGAACTCAGATGGAGTCGACCTTTAATATAGTTCTCATTTGAAGATTCACATACAAAAAACACAGTTAGCTTTTGAGACTATGTAACTTTTGAAAGAAGATACCATAGTTTCTCTTTTTACAAATGAAAAGTTGAACTCTCACTGCTACAGCCTAACCTGGGTGGTATGATCAGTGTTGTTTGGAGGCTATTGTTAGCTACCATTGGCAGACTACCGTATAACTGATATTACTAAGTCATGTTCCATAGGCTCGCTTTGAAGCTGCACTAATACACATTTTTATATGCACAGTAGCTAGTGTTCTCCAGAGTTTTACTCAACATTTTAGAGGAACTTATGAGTCTCACTGCTCTTCAAAAGCAAATCTATGAACACAGAAATGTATGGGTTTATATAGCGTACTATATTTCCCTCTTGTTCTTAAAGCCACTATGTGTAGAATTGTAAGATTTTCAACTTTGTCGCCCCCTGTAGTTAGGAGTCATTTAAAATAGCCTACATCAGGGGTCTACTGTCTGACTTTTAAGAGGTTAAAGATGATTTTTGTACATGCCATTCATCTTAACCTAGAACCGATCAAAGCCACTGCTTTTTCTGCAAAATGTCTTGACTATTTTTTTCAGAGCCATCTTTTGCTCTGCCGATTATAAATGTGGGTGTGGCTGCTTTGCTGAATGTGGAGTTTCTGAGGCATTGTCATTATGTTTAATCTATCAAAATACTCAAGTTAATGTAATAAACACCATGTGCCTCATACTAATTATATTATACTAAAAATACATATTTTTAAATGGTAAATGTATTTGTATAGTGTATTCCATTCGTAGTAATAATTAGGTCTGTGATGTTCAATTACCTTGTGATACTGTGGAGTTATATAGGAATTTTACATCAAACTGGCTGTTCTTTTTAAAAGAGGAGATTCTATTAGTGAAGTTAGCTCACAGTGCAGCGTGGAATAGTTGGAGCTGTGCTGTTTGATCAGTAGCCAGATGCCGGCAGCTATTGTGCTGCTCTGTATGAAGCCTGCTGTCTGACAGCAGCACAAAAAGAAAAGAAAAAAACAAACAGCAGTTTGAAAGAAGTAAACACCGAGAGAAACGAGCGATTCAGCAGACTTTCCTCCCTGCTGGGGTGTTACCTGCATGCTGGGGGCTTCAGATATGCGTTGGTGACTAAAAACTGGTTTAGAGACACAATAGCAGGGACGGCAATGTGTTCAGTAGAAGCAAACATTTGTATGATTTTCTTTTACTCCTGATACCATGGAGTGCAGATGTTTAATAATCGTCTAATACAGAATATTTATCCAATTCTGATCAAATGTATTCATATTCAGTTGCACTGCAAGTATTACCTTCACTCTGCTTGACATCCTTTTCCATGTAAAAAAAAAAGCAAACAACAAATAAACAATTTTGGACCTCAGGTGAGTTCATTGTATTCCAGTCCAGCTGAAGGGTCAGATTTATATACTCATGCAGTTAATTACAGGGATCTGGGAATAACACAACAAACACACAGGACAGCCACGCTAACAGCCATCACAGTTTACAGATTGACTTCCTGCTTCCACACTGACCCACTGTACTTACTACAGTTGTGCATGCACAGTTTTCTGGTACAACAGGGGATTATTACTGACCTTTCAGGTCCTCTCATTTAAGCCGTTTTCTCGTGTGAGCAGTTGCCCTTTCACGCATGTAGCACCAGGGGGCAACCTCAGATTCTGAAAAGTGATGCCAATACGGAAGTACCTTTAGCTTGAGAAAAGAGCAGGAGGCCTATGTTTGCTGCTATGCACACAGTTTTTTTTTATTACATTTAATCTTCCATTACAAAACTGGATTAAAATACTGTATTTCGCAGCTTAATTTTTTCTATCGGTATGATATCGCTTTATAAAAGAAAAGACAAGTTGAACGTGAATGTGTTGGCGTGAACAGAACACTCTGCCCTGGCTGGATGATGAATGAAGGAAACTGATCCACTGCTTACAAATATCTTTGAAGTACAGACTGACAAAAATTTGCCTTAATGAGAAACAACGCTAATTATTTTTGAAAATTTGATTTACAATCTATACCAATACAATGAAGTGTGGTTAAATATAATATGAACGTAGTCTTAAACTATGGTTAATTACCTTTAATTGTAATGGCAAATATATGTAAATCTAGACATTAAATTATTTTATGGGAAAAAAGGAACCAACAGAAAAAAACAGAACATATCCTTTAAAAAAAAAATCAGTTTTATCTGTATGGTGGAGCTATGGTAGCGGTGAACGTGGTGACACATAAGGATTCCAGAAAGCATATACAGTATTCTTCTCTGGATAATGTGCTGTGGTGAAATGCCTGCTAGCTCCATCAGCTCATGTTAGGTGAAGGCATGGAGGTGTTGCAGGCCGGCAGACCGACAGATCCAATCCGACTGACCACTGCTGGAGAGAAAAGGCAGTGAGGGGGCGTAAAAAAAGGGAGGGGAGCAAAGGAAATGAGGGAAGGAAGGAAGAAACAGAGGAAATGTAGGATTGTAATGTGAAGAATATTCAGAGAAAAGGTGGTATTCAAAAAAAAAGTAGTAGTAGAAGAGGGGGGACAGGTAGAACAAAATGACAACAGGAAAGAAACAAGAACAAAACCAGCGATAAAAAGACAAAGAGCTGAGGGGTAAGGACTAAAAAGGTGAAACCCTGCAGGTTTAGATCGTAAGTAGTTAAAGTCAAGTCGATGCCCATTAGCATTGGTGTCCTATCACCTCTCCTGTATACATTTTATTTCTCACTCTGACTCAATTCAAATCTTCAAATTTTGTGGATGATACCGCTGTGGTAGGTCTGATCTTGTAATACTGATCACAGCTTAGAGAGCTGAAGTCTCTAGTTGAGGGGCGTCCTCATTTCAAGTTAGCTGTGGACCACCACAAAGACACAGATGAGCCTCCGTCCTTTGTCATCAATGGTCAGGCTGTGGAGAATGCTTCAAACATCTGGGGACCACCATTTCTTCTCTTATTAACTAGAATAATACTGTGAGCCATATTATGCAGAAATCCCACCAACAATTCTTCTTCCTGGGACAACTCATGACGATGAATGTACAGAGCTGTGATCTCACATTCTCCATACACAGTGTGGTATGCATGATGACAGGAAGGACCTTTAAATGGTAGTGAAAGCATAACACAACCAGTGGTCAAGATATGCCAAACATCTGTGATATTTGTAACTCCTGCATGCTTATGGTCTGAAGATAATCAGAGATGCCTGTTATCTAGCAAATGGAAAACGGTTTTGTAGTATTAAATGTAGAGATGCACAGATCCAAGCTGATTTCAGCTGATTTATTGAATCAGTGTCTAATTAAAAGCAGAACTACTTATTTCCCTAACAGCACGTATCCTGAGGGCAGCGAGGGCCCTTATCTCCTCCTCATCAATTCAGTCGATGAACTCAACACAAACTGTGAAACCTTAGAGGGTTTCCTAATGCACCAGACACTTGCAGTTTCATTTACTCGGTTAGAGTAAGTCTATGCTGATGTTTTATTCATCTTGCTATAGTATTTGTATTATGTCTATTCTGATGTGTATTTGCCATATGGTTTTTATCTACCCCAAGAACCCCCAAGACAAATTCCAATCAATGTTTAATTGGTATGGTATTACATTACTGTTTGGTCGGATTATGTATGAGGTATGTGGAACAGGCAGTTCTTCTTAACACAGCTCCATTTAACCATGACAGGGTTTCTGCATTGTAAACACAAGTAGCTTAGGCAGACCCTTTTTGGTTCAGAGGAACAAGACTTCTGTGGGAACAGAGATATTAAGTTGAAAGGAAAATCCTCTCCTTGACAACCCAGCAAAACACCAACAGGCCAAGTCTGCAGATTTGGATTTTTTTTGAAGAGGAAGAAGAAGAGTCTGAGAGTCAGCAGTCTTGTGTTATAACACCCCATACTGTGGGTTTCTCTTTTTTAGCAAAGTCCCATAACATAGCAAACTGCAGAGACCTGAACACGTAAGTCAAAGTGATTCCACATACAAGCTACAGCTCCTGCTGGATGATCTACTGCTATCATTTCTATATTTTATATAATTTTAAGAGTCCCTGCTAAAGAATGATGAGGTCCGTAGAACAGACGAGTCCTCTTACATTCCTGCAGAGGTGAAGCCCTTATTCTTATTCTCAGCACTATTCCTATTGTAATGTACTGTTAATAAACAGTTAAAAGTTCCTCACAGTAACTTTAAAGAAGCACTCCAACATGAGACATGAGATTGATGTTATCAAATCCACAGAAGATCCTTGTTGTTTGGATATCTGAGCTATTCCTAACCGCAGAAGCAGATAGGAAGTCTAAAATCCTTTAAGCAGTACCCGTTTATCTTAGCTTTTGTTCCTAGCATTTGGGTAGCGTGAAATTCAGGGGTCCAAAACAAAATTGAAGATAATTGGCCACCCAAAAGTAAAACCTTTATTTTAGATTCTTCCGAGCAAATGCTAATAAAGACTCACTCCCAACTCCTCAAACACTGATTGGTCAGTGCCTCTTCGCAACGCAGATCGACCCTCTAGGTACTCCTCGAGCATTAGTCATCAACGGGGAGGGAAGGTTTGTCAATATACGTTCGTTACTCCTGCATAGGGTCCTAAACATTTTCACACACTTTATTTTACGTCACTTGCTGTTACCGTCCACTAATGCCTCAGGAGGGTTCACTATGGAGCCCAGTGCATCCTAAAGAGCCGCTGAAGGGGGCCGCTGTGAGTCGGAGACCAACCGGTATTTGACCAGTTGGGAGTGAGAACAGGAAACGTTGTGGTGGTGTATGTTTTGAAAGTCAATATGTTTAATTGGAAAAGTCTTCCGTCTTTGGTGACTTAGTGAAACCTGTTTAACTCTAAATAGCATGGGTTCTTTTTTTATTTTGTTACCAGAGGATGAATCCTACTGCTTTTAACTGACTTAAATCTATTGTCATCATCAGGTCAAAATACTTCATTACCAGTGAAATCACAGAGCAGTTAGCATGGCTGATCATTCTTTGTCTCCTTTTTATAGTACTGGAATTCATACCATCTCTTGCATGCTAACTTAACTTACTTAGTTATACAGCCACTATCCAGCCATCATCCGTCATTTCTATAAATCATAATCATATTCAGATTATCTGAATGATAATTGGCCGACCCAAGGAAGTATAGTGGCTCTAGTCAGAGCTGAAGCACTGTAGGTTGGCTCTGTCTATAAAATTGTAAATGCCAAATAACATCAGCACACAGACTGCACTACTGTAGCAAGGAGGCTAATAGAGCTTGGGTTGTCCAATAAGGGTGTTCACCAAAGAACAACAAAATGAGTCCATAGCATTACTGTTTTAGCACTTTCATAGTAAACTCTGGGTCTCAAGATTGTAAAGAATCTCTTGGTCATGACCAGGCAGGCTAGCACAACAGCCTGCACCTGTGCCTTGATTCACACAAATAGGACACTTACACATACAGCATGTATAGTTGTGTCAAATTGAAACAATTGAGATTTAGATTCAGTTCAGGTTAAGGGTTTCCGGCCTAAGCCAGAGTTTGTAAGTAGCTCGCACCTTCCACAGGTTGTAGTGGGAGAAGTAGCAGCTATAATAGCTCACTCACACACACATATTATGCAATCAAAGGCTTCAGCCCAACACCTGGCCTGGAGGAGAGAGGCAGGAATGCAGGGATGAAAGGTGAACAGCGAGCCAATTGAGGTAGAGCGATACAGACGAAGGCGAGAGAGAGCGAGTCGGGTTATTGCTGCAGGTATCAAAGTCAAAGCAGCAGATCTCACAGCAGATCCGATATATGTTCACTGCTTCAGGCTCAACACAAACTCTGGCTTTCTGCTGCTCTTTCTTCATTTGTAGCCACAGTATTCAAAAGATGTTTTGTTGTCTCCGTCTTGGGCTGACTTTTGGTCTTTCTTTTGTGTTTCCGCCTTTCCTCTTCTTTGCTTGTGTCTTATACAAACCTGTCACCATCATCCACTGGCCTGTCTATCCTCTTTTCCCTCCATCCATGTTCCATCAGTAAGCTCTTTCCACACAGACGGATACAAATGTCTTTTTGGTCCTTATACTGTAATAAAGGTGTAGACTGACATGTGCTTCACCGGCAAAGGAAATGAAAAATGTACATGTATAAATTGGCTCATTGCATTGATTAAGTTCAGTCCACTGAGGAAGTAGGATGCTGGTGAACTGCACAGGGTAACAGTAGTTGGTAGACCGGTTTGAATAAAACTCACAAACACACATCCAAGTCCTTCAAACTAAACCACTCAATACTTTGTTTGTTATTGTTTTCCAATCCGACAAGCCTATTGGCGAGAAGATAAAGCCTCTATCACTTTCCACAAGAACGATCGACCGGACATGAGCCGACATGGAAACATGACGTTTGGATCTTTTATACTCCGTGAGGCTTTCTCCTGGCAGCACACCAACATCCTCAAAGTTCTCTTTGCCCATTTGTGTCATTGTATTACGAAATGTTGGGTGTCGAAACCCCCTAAAACAGCTGGTTGCTGTAGTGTTTATCAAACGTTACTCCAACAGGAGGAAAGCGTTTGTCGGGGACTATTTTCAGCAGCGGATTAATTTACATTTGGTGGAGTTTTTGTGTCAGCAGGACAGTGTATGTGGGATGGAGTCAAACTAAATTACAGAGTGTGTGTTCATAAAAATGAGGGCACTGATGCGCTTTTAACAACAATGGAGCTCTGAGGCTCAGAGGAAGAAGATATATCAGGATTTGATACACACACTACTTGTTAGAAGATATACGATCGTCTCTCTGTGTGTCCCTCTGCAGCTCCAGTCGGACCAGGACTACGGCAATGGCGTAGTCAAGTACATTCTGTCTGGCGAGGGGGCCGGCAGCCTCTTTGTCATCGACGAGAATAACGGGGACCTGCATGCCACTCGCCGCCTGGATCGTGAGGAGAAGGCTTTTTATATCCTCAGAGCCACAGTGGTCAACAAAAAGACAGGTCTGAAGCTGGAGCCAGAGACCGAGTTCACCGTCAAACTCCACGACATCAACGACAACGAGCCGAAGTTCAGCAAAGAAGTTTACACCGGCAGTGTGCCTGAGAGCTCTGATATTGGTAAGGAAAACTGTGACTGGTCCAGAGTTAAAATGGTGTTTATTGTTCTTTTCATTATCATTTTCATTCATTTTTCGTAAAATGATTAAAACATCTTAGGGATAACCCACCTCTTGTGATATTTGTCAGTGATAGCCATGTGGATGTGTGTCTCTCAGGTACATCAGTGATCCAGGTGACGGCTACAGATGCTGATGATGGTATGTATGGGAGCAGTGCCAAACTGGTCTACAGCATCAGCCAGGGACACCCGTACTTTTCTGTGGACCCAAACACAGGTATGTCAGACGCAGCGCGAGACATTCACAATACAACTCAATAGAACATAAGGATGCAGAGGGACATAAACATGAGAAGTATTATATCTTCCAAACACACGGGGACAAACCTTCAAGCAGTGGCGGATCTACAGAAACATTCATGGGGTGTAGAGAAATATATATATGCTGATCCAAAACTCTAAAAGGAGTTTTGCTCGTGGACATTTTCCAACCAGCCACAACTTTTCAATTCTATATATTTTTAATTAGATTGTCTAAAAATTGAGAGCCAGCTAGGGTTGTTGTAAATCATTCATGAATTATGACAACCTCAGTCAATGTTTTATTCAACATTAGTACGTTTTTCAAGGACATTTCAACTGAACATATTTTATCATGTTGTAATTCTGTTCAATGCAGTACAAAAATGTTGAGCCTGGCTCCTCACCTTTTGTAACTTAAAGCCCGCTTCAAATCTGTGGACCACCTTCTCAAAGAAATAAATAAATAAAACATGAATTTAAAAAAAGGAGAACAAATAAACTGGGCTGTAAATATGTACAATGCCACTGTCAGCTGTAATGACCAAAATCAATCAAACCAAAGTCACATTTCCTCACCACACACTTTGGAGCGTTTCTGGTGCAGTGTTGTCTCCCAGATCACCTCTCAGTTTGAAAAATGATCCATTTTGTGAACGTTAGCTAGCTAACAGTGGCAAAGCATGTCTGTCTCTACCTGATGATGTGTTGTAATTGGTGTGGTGATATTCACACTTAACTGCTCATTGAAATTGTTCATTTTAATTTGACGTTTTGTATTTATATGAGTTCTTGAGCACTTTTTAACGTTGGACGTTAACGTTTAACGAGGCTAGCTGTATCCCCTTGTTTCCAGTCTTTATGTGAAGCCTGGCTGTGTGTATTGACAAGTATGCGTGTGTGTAATCATGTGTAAATCCAAGTCTGCAACCTCCTCATCAGATGAATATGAACTACTATTGTAGATATGCCTGATTTAATCTGCCGTGTAAAAAGAAACGGATCGCAGATTCTCTTCTCAACCACCCACAAAAAACAACACAGGTCTCTAGAAAATGCAGAGCAGGATTGAAACCGAATGATTTGTTACTTTTGTTCAGGTGTGATCCGGACAGCCTTGGGTCCTGGCGACATGGACCGCGAGCAGAGGGAGCACTATCAGGTGGTGATTGAAGCTAAAGACATGGCTGGACAGAGAGGAGGGCTCACTGGAGCCACCGTGGTTAACATAACCCTCACCGATGTCAACGACAACCCTCCCCGCTTCACTCAGAGTAAGACAGCAGCATACAAATGATGAAACACACTCTCATAGAGGTCAGAAGGCAGAGGAACCATTATGTTAAAGGAATGGTGTGTAACATTTAGTCCAGGGGTCACCAACCTTTTTGAAATGGAGATCTACTTCAAGGGTACTGAGTAGTACGAAGGGCTACTGAATAACAAATTTGCACAGATCTCCTTTTAATAATAATAATATATGTGAAGAGACTGTCTGATCACATGTCAATGTTAATTATTCCTCACAATAATTATTAATAATGATTGTGTATTTTGCTCAAAATCACACCTGTTACATTTTTGTACAAACTATCACTTGAAATCATGAACTCTGTCCCATGTTTATACAAATGATCAGTTATGTATGATTGATATCCGGCCAATCCAAAGACGAGGATTGTAACCAATTAAATGTAGTTATGGAATGGTGACTGGGTCCGCTCCCTTAGTGTCAAAAAGTAAAACTACTCGCGAGCGAGCAGATGAAAGTTTTGCGAGCAGAAGAGCAGTGATAGTAGTTGCGCGCTAGGGGACGCCCCTCGCGCTCAAAGCATGGTTTTCTCCGCAGAGATATTCTGCGCGGAGTGATGTGAAAGCGCTCGCCAATATATGCGTCAATATATCTCGCCAATATATGCGCGCTGCTGTTTAATTTGCACGCGGGATCTCTACACACGGATCTTATTTGCGCTCTCGGATTTTGACAGTGATTTGCCTTCATACTAGTGCTATTTTTAGAACATGCCTTGCGGGCGACTCGCGTGGTCCCTGCGGGCGACCAGGTGCCGGCGGGCACCGTGTTGGCTACCTCTGATTTAGGGGGATTCATTGGCAGAAATGGAATATAATATTCATAACCATGTTTTAATCCGTGTTTAATCACCTAAAACTAAGAGTGGTAGTGTTTATTGTTAGCATAGAAAAAGACATTTATGTCTACATAGAGAGCAGTTCTTTTCCCACAGCGTCTAGCCATGTTGTGTTTCTACAGACAAACCAAGCAAACCAAGTTTGTCTGTGGTGAACCAGGTGAAGTAAAGATTATTCGAGTTGACGACAACTACGCTTGTTACTGTGAAGCAAATACTTTATCAATACATCTGTTCAACAAGCACGAACATGTAAACAAAAGAGAAACCTATTTCACTCTCTGTCCTCGGTCTCTCAAGTTCAAACAGAAGCTGTTTGTCTGTAGTCTGACTGTTTATCTTAGTTTGCTCTTCTAAACTTCTCTGATGGCTGAGACAAAGCAGCCAGGAGGACAGAGGACAGGAGGACAGGGGACAGGAGGACAGGAGGACAGGGGACAGGAGGACAGG